TATGTCTGATGTCTTCCCTAGGCATCCATCTGGCTCCAGTTCCAGTACAACTTTGCCATGGCTGTGCATGGCCTGGTAAAAGGCTGGACTGGGCTTTGGGTGGTGGTCAGGGCTCAGGAGCCCAGGGCTAGACAGTTGCATGGCCTTGCCAGAGAGCTGTCAGGTGAGATCCAAATCCAAGTTAAAAAAAAAAATGGGTCTAATAGCCAGGTGCGGAGGCACATGCCTGCAGTCCTAGCACTTGGGAGGCTAAGGCAAGAGGACCACTGCAAGTTCAAAGCCAGCCTGAACTACAAAGTGAGTTCAAGGCCAGCCTGAAGTGCACAGTGAAATCTTGTCTCAAAAACAAAAAACAGAGCCAGGGATAGGGCTCAGTGGTGTCATGCCTACCTGGCAATCACGAGGCCATGACTTTAAGTCCCAGTACCAAAAAAACCAAAAACACAATTTAAAAAACCAAGTCTAAATTCAAGAGAACGGCAGCTGTCTATGTCTATCGGCGATTGTCAAGGGTGGGCCCCTCTCCTCCTGGTTCCCAGCAGTCCTTCTGCTGGCCCCAAGCTCAGGCCTTGGGCAATGATGTAGAGGAGGACTCTCCTGCCCGGTCTGCTAGGGAGACTCAAGGAATTCAACCAAATGTGGGGAGCACAGGAGTGGACAGAAAGCACAGGTGCATGTGATGCTGGGAACTGAGAGATGGGCTGAAAGATCCAGGACCGGCGGGGCCAGCTGGCTAGCCAGGCAATAGGCGGAAGTGACTCACCACCTTCTAGAAATGGCATTGGTCTGCGCCTGTGTGCTGGGCTGTGCCTTGATGGCGAGAAGAAGCTCATGGTGCCCGACTTGTACCAGTCATGTGACAGTCTGCACTTATGTACCATACACTGGTGGGGCTTTGCTGGGGCCCCCGCAGCTCCCTCCATCCTGTCCTCCTCCAAGACCACGGCCCTGTAGGCCCTCTTTAAAGCAGAGGAGTTGTAAATTGGTTCCGAAAAGCAGTTTGAGCTCCTAGAACTTCTTTCTGCTCACGGGGCTCTGAAATCTCTGGTAACCCTTGGGTCACACTGTACTACGAAAGAAGAGAGCATCTGTGAAACATGGCAAGGAAGGAACAGTGGCTTTGAGTGCCCTGCTAAGAGGAAATAGACAGCTGGGAAAAGTGGCACAGCCTAAAATGCAGGCTACTGGGAGCCCGAAGCAGCGCAGTTGCAAGTTTGAGGCAAACTTGGGCAATTTAGCAAGACCCTGTCTCAAAATAAAAAGTAAAAGGACCAAGTTCCGTCCCCAGTAGAAGAAGGGAGGGCTGGAGGGAGGAGGGGGCTTATTATTTCTCCTCCTCTCCTCCTCCTTCTCCTCTCTTCTTCCTCCTTCTCTTCTTCCATCTCCTTCTCCTCTTCCTCCTCCTTACTCTTCTTCCTTTTCCTCTTCCTTCTCTTCTTCTGGTGGTGATGCTAGAGATGGAACCCAGGGCCTTGTGCATATCCCACTGAACTACCTCCAGCCAAAATAAACCGTTTCCAACATGAGCGACACCAAGCCAGGGCCAGAAAGGCAGATTTTCAAAGACAGAAACATGTATCTGCCAACTCTGGCCTGTCTGTGTGTGCCTGTGTGTGCTACACAGAGACATCTAAACAGACATGCACAGAGGCCAGAGGCTCACATTTATCCATGCAGACACAGGCACACACAGGCATGTGCATCCTCAGAGAGACACAGGGAAACAGTCCTGCATAGACACACACGTGCACAATCGCACATTGCTCCTGCTTAAGAATAAAACAGTCAATTCCAGGAGCTGTCTGAGAATGACAGCAGCCTCCAGTTTCTTCAGTCTCACCTGGGTCCCTGACTGCAGGACAGCAGGTGGAACTGGAGGAAATCAGGAAGTGGGGGAGCTGGTCCAGCCCCAGATGGGATCTGCTTGGCTCACTCCAGCCATTGAAACAACTAGGATTAGTTGCCAATATTTAAAAACAGGAAGATCCCATGTGAAAATCAGTGGACAGCATGCCTTGGACGTGTGGCATTATGCCCTGTGGCAGAATCATCCAGTGATAAGACAGAGCCTGCCCTTGGCAGAGCCCTGCACTGCTGTTTGCAACAGCCCCCCACTTCCCTTGTCTGCCTGACCACGAGGTTGTGTGTCACTTGCCATCTCCCATGGTGCTGGCGCTGTTGCCTTCCTGAGCTGGAAGGGAGGCAGCCTGCTCACGGCTGTGACTACTCTGCAGTCTGTGTCTAAGCCAAACGGGGTGAGGAGGGCAGGGAATGTAGCTCAGCAGCCAAACCTGAAAGGGCACATTCTACAGGTATTACAACTATTTGAAAAAAAAAAAAAAAAAAAAACCTCAGAAGCAGGGGAAAACTAATGTAAAATATCAGGAATATGATTATACAGAGAGAGGAGGAAACAGTAAGTAGAAAAAAGCTAACAAGAGGCTCTGGAGGACTGTTAATAATCTCCCTGTTTCTTGAGTTGGGCACTACTGACATAGGTGTGCTCACTTTGTGATGATTTGTGGTTTGGACACCTTTATGTGAACATGTCACATTTCAAAAAACTTATGCTTCAAATGTTCTGGCTGCATTATTAAAAGACTATATTTTTTCCCCACATAATGATCAGATGTAGTGGCACACACTTGAAATCTCAGCACTATGAAGATAAACAGGCATATGGTTTGCAAGAGTGTTAACTTTGTCTTTTTCTTCCTTAATTTCCTAACTGCATTTTTAGATTATGTAATTATTTTTCTTCTTTCCATACACAAACATACAAATTATTCTGCAATAAATTTCACCTAGTGGCTGATTAACTTAAAAAGAGAGTATTTTTTTAAAAAGTATTCAAAGGCAGACACCTAGGAAAACAAGACTGATAAAAAAAAACTGGTCAAAAAAATCAGCCAGGTGTGCTGGTGCACTCCTGAAACCCCAGCAGAAGGCAGAAGGATTGCCTCAAGTTTGAGGTCAGCCTGCGCTCCACATTCCACATGGATATAATGCCAACATTAAAGTGAAAGAGTAAAACAAGAGAGTACTTACTTCTCAAATTCTCTTTCAATCTTTTTGGCAAAGTATTACCAATGGAATATAAAACCTATTCAAGAAAATGGTGCTAAACAGGATTAAAAAATGAATTATTTTAAGGAGCCCATATTAATTTGCACACGTGTGTGTGTGTGTGTGTGTGTGTGTGTGTGTGTGTGTGTGTGGTGATGGTACTAGGCCTTTCTAATTTCTTAAAAATTTGATTACTGTAGAAGGGATTAAACTCTACATTAAACTGAGAACATCCCAGCCCTTTTAATTTTTATTTTGAGACATGGGTTTGCTAAATTGCCCAGGGTATCTAATTTGTAACCCTTCTGACTCAGCCGCTGGGATTACATGCATGAACCACCACACCCAGCTAACAGCCCTTATTAAAATTCCACATCAGAGTTGGAAGCTGTAGGTCATAAATTTCAATTTTTCTTATAGAAAGTTTCTCCCTAAACATTCCTTGAAAGGCAATTACTCAGTCTCTATCACTCATAAAATCAAACACATATCAGATTTATTAATAAAGCACAGTATAGAACTAAAATTTCAGAATTTGCATTTGAAGAAAAAAATTAAAATCAGAAATATTTATGTTGACTGGTCTTTGATATAAATTTATGATCCAAATTTGAGTGGCTCCAAGTGTCATATTTCCTTAATCCACTCATTCTCCCATTGTCACAAAACTCCCTTTTTCAGAAATTACACATTGCTCTTCCATCCATATTCTCAGTCGATGATCCTGACTCTGGTTTCACAATCAGCTTTCACCTACTACATTACTAATACCCCACTTTATTTTCTGCTGATGAACATTCACAATTTAACACCTGTTATCACACTGAAATTGTTCATTATCAAGTACACCAATGACACACTGCTAAAAAGAAAGTCAATTATCACTGGAACCATCAACATCACCTCACACAGCTAGCTGGCCCATCTTCCCTGGTGAGGAAATTGCTAGACGTACTCACTTCCTTGGTAATCTCATTTAAACACATAGAGTTCATATCTTAAATGTAAACTTCAGGATTTTTCATTTCAGTTTGAACTTTCCCCAAAATTCCTAAAAGATGTATTCAAGTGCATATTCAGTGCTCTCACCTCACATTTAACATTACTACAACTGAATTCCTTATCTTTATTCTGAATATTGCTTCCATCCACAGTCTAATTTTTTAATTTCAGAAATGGGAATGTTGTTCCTCTAACTGCTCTGCTCATACCTTGTGGTCTTCTTGATCTGTATTTCTCTTATACTTTTAACTTCTAATCAGGGAATCCTACTGTACCTACCTTCAAGACTTAACTACATCTTACCAACTTCACTTTAATGTTTGTCTTAGCATCATCTCTTATCTGGATGACAGCAACAGGCTGTCATCTAACTTTGTACTTTTTAGACTTTAGAGGCTATGAACACAACAACTACACTGTTAAACCACACCATATCTTTGTTCAAAATTTTATGGAACCAATTTTCACAGACTAAAAGGCTGTGTTTATAATGGCTTCTAAGACACTATCCAAAGTGCTCCTACACAAATCCTTATCTCCTACTATCTTTTTACCTATTTAGTTCCATACTTAAACCTGAAAAACCTTATTTAAAGCTGGATGTGGTGGCACATGCCTGTCACCCCAGCACTTGGGATGCTGATGCAGGAAGATCACTGTGACCTCCAAGCTAGTTTGACCTATAAAGTGAGTTCAAGGCCAAGCTAAAATGCATAGTGAAACTATGTCTTAAAAAGACCAAGAAAAGGGGGACAACAAAAAACCTTATATAAAAACGCAGCCCCTCTCCCTCTCTTCTTTAACCTGGTCCCCATAAAGATTCTAAGGTTGCTAGTTTTTTAAATTTATCTGTTTCAGAACAACTTTTAGAATCAAATGCTGTCCTTTGAGTATCAATTATATAATGTACAAAGAAGGCAAAGAAAACTTACTCCTTTAACGTGCTCAAAAGTGACATTTTTCATCTGAACAGGATCTTCTGCAGAATCAAGCCCGGTAGTAGTCCAGAAGCGGACTAAATGGAAGAAAACAGATGTTAATATTTAACAGATTAATAAAATTTCAATCATCTTAATTTTTAGATGTAAGAAACCAAAGCCTCCAAAATTAAACATCGGAAAAATCTCTGTTCACATACACCGAAACAAAGTACAGAACAGAAAATAGGTCTTCTGATTTCTAGATCATGTTCAAATAGCAAGTGATTCACATTAAAGACACATATTTTTGTATTTTCCTTTAAAACCAAAAATTATTTTCCTGTTCTTGGACTAATAATAGAAAGCTTAAAATCAATGGTTATCAAATTTCAGTATGAATTTTTGAAAAACCACTTGAAAACTGTGTTAAAATGCAAATCTTCAAAACCGTGCTACACACTAATAGTTTGCAGATTTGAGAAAGAGCCCAGGAGGTTGCATTTTTTACAAGCACCTTCAATTATTCTGACACAACTGGTTACAGATCTACATTGTGAAATATTGCCTTAAACACAGCATAAAAACCCAGTCCATTCATTTAATTAAAAGAAGGAAAGAAATGATTTCACTTTTTAAGTATTCTTCAATAATGACATCTTTAAGCATATGAGAGGAAGAGTTTGGTAGGATAAAATACTTCAAAGCTACCCTGAGCAACTGTTACAAAGTTTTTAAAAATTGCTCCCCAGGTCAAGTGGAACAGTTACAAATGAGTACAGTGATTTCTAATAACTTCATGAAACTAAAAGATTGCCATTAAGACATAGTGGAAATTTAAAGGCAAAAGAAAGAAATGCTTGCTCGGTATGGTGGTACATGTGTGTAATTCCAACATTTTGGGAGGTTGAGGCAGGGCGATCTCAAGCTCAGGCCTACCTGGACAACTCAAGTGAGACTCTGTCTCACAGTAAAAAGGACTGTGGATATAGCTGAGTGCAGGTCTTGGGTTCAATTTCTTAGACAAAAACAAAAAAAATTTCTAACAGAAGAAATGCCTAACACAACAGGAACACACAAGTGGAAAAATACATATATAAAACAGTAATTCTAGAATGGACACTAACAGTTTGAGCCTTTTAATGAACTGTTTAAGGATCTTAAATAATTACAAAGAATGAACATATGGTAAAAACTGAATGATAGCTGAGAAAGTAATTAGAACCACCTACATGTGGTATTTATAACTATTTCAGAACTGCAAACTGAAAAGATACTGGATTCATCTGATTAAGAAAAAATTCAATTTATGGGCTTGTCTTTGAAGCACAAGACTGCTTTACATTGTTATTATAACATCCTACATGATGCTAAAATTTGATCATCCCACATGTATCATTTTCTAAAACCCTAGAAAACTAACCACTAGGAATGAAAAGTCTTGTAATGCAATCCACCAGCAGTTCCTTACCAGGTGCCACACCCACGAACCCCCGGAACCACAAGCTAAAATCAACCTCTTTCTTTTAGAAAAAGTACTCAATAGTCAGCCTTGGGTATTTCATCATTGAAACACAAAAAGCCTACATAATCTACAAACAGTGAAAAGGAAAAGAATATTTAAAGAAATAAAAAAGTTGCCGGGGATTTAGCTCAGGGGCACACGTGCCTGCCTGGCAAGCACGGGGACATGAGTTTGATTCATTACCACAAAAAAAAAAAAAAAAAAGAAAGAAAGAAAGAAAAAAGTTAACATGGCAGATAAATAAAAGCATCCTTACCAGATAAAAATGGATTTTTTAAGAGTCCATAAATGCCAAACAGAAGCAGAACAAAAAGAATTAAATGAGTTCGCCTTAAAGAATCTGGAAGAGAGAGAGAAAGGCTTAAGCTGAATACCACCAATGAGATATTGCAGCTAAACAAAATGCAAGTATCAGGATACTGATAATTATACTTTTATAATGTGCAATTTTGGAAGCTAGCATTCTTGTGCACAGCCACAGCCTTTCAGCATCTTCTTCCTCAAAACTTCACGAAACCACATATGCTTTCTGTTCTTGACTTATCTCTTGAGAAAGTAAACTGCCAATATTTCTACTCAAACATAGTTTAACTTATAATGGAATACACCCATGTAAGAAGATGTATGAACTTTTGTTTTTTGAGACAGGACCCCACTATTTAATTGCAAGCTGGCCCTGAGCTCACTATGTAGCCCAGGCTGGTCTCAAACTCTTAGTTATCCTCCTGCTGCAGCCTCCTGAATGCTGGGAAACAGGATGAATGATTTCAGAAAAGTCATTTGTAATAGTTTAAATGTAGGCCTATGACATCTTTTCAGTTATTTTTCTCAAATCAACTTACCATTGTTTTTTTGTGTTAATGTTTGAGCTTTCAGAAAACCCTCTGCAAAACCAGTTTTAAATGCATCTTGTTGAGCTTCAGGTATGTTTTTCGTTTTCATGAGTTTGTCCAAACTCTCAACATCTGATCCTCTGTCCCGCAAAAGAAACCCCTACATGCATGAAATAACACAACAGTATTTATTGGTCAACTGTACAGACAGGGATAATACTCATTTATGTCATGATCACCCACTAAAAATTAATTGCAAGTCTAAAATTTCATTTCTATTGCCAATGTGAAGAAATTAAGATTCAACATCAAATTAATCAACTGACCAGGATACTAATTCTAGATCCCACACGCACACAAATCAATTATTAACATAAAGAAAGTATCACTACTCTGCACTACACTATACTGAAAACACTGCCACATAATGCTTAGGATTATAATGGTCTGATATTCACCGTACTTTATCTCTGCTGGAGGAAAAATTTCATTACCTTATTAAGATTAAAGTATTATTCTGCATGGCTAGGCGTACTGGCATGCACCTGTAATCCCAGCACTCAGGAGACTGAGGCAGGAGGATCACTGTGAGTTCGAGGCTAGCCCGGACTACAAAGTGAGTTCAAGGCCAGCCTGAACTGCACAGCAAAACCCTGTCTCAAAAAGACAATAAGAAAATAAAATATTGCCCTGCACATACTAAGCCTAGTTCTAAAAATATAAAGATAATTAAGTCATTCTTCTTAAAGTTTCTAGCCCACTAGGAAAAAATATATAAATATTTTCTTAAAAAATGGTTTTGGCAGTGTGGAGCTTCCTTAAAAAACTAAGATTGGTGGACCCATTCAACCCAGTTATTCCCCTTCTGGGTATCTTCCCAAAAAGAATTAAAAACATCATACCACAGAGATATATGTGCACCCATGTTTTATAGCAGCTAAATTCATAATCGCTAGATCTTGGAAACAACCTAAATGGCCACTGACTGAGGAATGGATAAAAAACATGTGGTATTTTTATACAATAAAATATTACTCAGCCATAATTAATGATAAACTGGACATTTTTATAGGTAAATGGATATACCCTGAGAACATATTCATTAGTGTGACAAGCTGAAAGAAAAACATATATATGTGTATATGTATATAAAAATAGTTAAGACAGTTAGACTACTGATTTCTCTGAGTTCGCTGAAGAGAAAGATCTGTATTGGTATTGTTTGGACAACTGAACACAGATGTCTTGTACTCTGGGTGAATGATTTGGGGATGACAACGTACAATGTATGTTCTATTACTACCTCTGATTGATGTGCTTTGAAATTTTATTGTACTTTTATGTTTGAATAAAATGGATTTGAAAAAAATAAAGTGCAAAGAAAGAAAAAAGATTTTGGTATCTAGTTATCGTAGCAAAAGAAATTCTATATATGGAAAACCACAAAGACCTTACAGAGAATGGACATAGTAACTATATAGAGGAAAAACATGACAGAGCCACGGAACAGCATTTAAGAACTGTGTGTAATTTGACACATCTTGCAGTCAAAAGCATGGGACAGGGAAAAGACTAAGTGGCATACCAGAAATGAGAACCAAAAAAAATGGTCAGTAAAGGTTTGAAATGCCCTGTAAATCAGACTGAGTTGGGTCATCATTTTATTACTTAACATTTTTTTTTAATCAGGGATTGAATTCACTACCTCACAGTTACCAAGCAGGCACTTGTGCCGTTGAGCTATATCCCCAGCACTTGACTTTAGATTATTTTGTAAAGACTGATGGGTAGGTCTGGAGGTAAAAACAACATAGTAAGACTAGAAGGAAGAAGATTTTGACTGACCATAGCATTTCTAACTTTATTTATACAAGGTACACAAAAGCATTCATAGGTTGGTAGGAAAAATAAAAGCAGCTGTGTAATAAGCAAGTAGAGACAAGGCTCATACTTAGGGGAATTACAACAGGTATAATGATTACGTAAGTCATTCATTTCTTATTATCAGGAAATACCAAGAGAAAATTAATCAGTCAACAAAAGAAATAAAATATTATATGTCCTTGCTGTCTTAATAATTTGAAAATTATTCCTTTCTGAAATGTTAAAAAAGCTCTAATTACCTTCACAAAGGATGGTGCTACATTCTGTGTTTCTGCTACTCTTTCAGAGGTGGACTGCAGACGTCGTGTCCTCGATTTCAAAGTTTTAAAACCCCGAGACTGTATAAAAACTAAACAAAATAGTACCATTTACTTTGTAAGTTGCTAAAAGAAACTAAAATGCTTAATTAGGACTCTAAAAAGCTTATCAGTATGTCTTAGTTTATCTTGTTTTTTATATTTCTTTTGCCAAACACTTCAATAATACACTTCACATTTTTTCTATCAACCTTTTTTACAAACAAAAAAAGAACTTTAAATATTTTATTTCATGTTCATGGTAGAAGAGTAAATAGTTATTTCATAGTATAATTTAGAAAACAGGACCACAAAACTGATAATTTTTTTTCTGATCTTTTGTTTTCTTTCTTTTCTGGTACCAGGAATCACTCAAACTTTAATGCTTTTTCTAAAACATGTAGATCATTGAAAGGTAGCAAATCCAAAATTAATTTGGTATTTTCTTGGTAATTACAAAATATTTTAAAAACAAAAAAGTGTCAAAAATCAGTGTTTCCTAATTCTTCAAATCTTAATCCAACTTCTTTCCTTAATAGTATATACCTCAGAAGAGGACAGACAGTATATTCCATTTAAATGTCAGTTAACAGTTTTCTGTTTTATCTAACTACAACTTACTCAACCATTTTTCACTTATGGGCATTATTCTTTTATTATTATTTTCTTTTTGTTCCTTTGGTCTGAAGATTAAACCCAACATCTCACATATGCTAAGCACATGTTCTACCAACAAGCTACAGACTCATTACCTTTTTATTGCTAAAATCAACATTGTAGTGAACATTTTCATACATCCTTCAACACATGCAGAACAAATTACTAGAAGTGAAACACTAAGAAATTGCCTTTGAAGAAGCTGTTATTGTATGTGCCTAGTTATGAACAAGTGTGTTTTCTTCATACTCTCACCAATACTAGGTCATAAAACCTTTTTAATTTACATAAATTTGGCAAAAAGAAAAAAAATTGGTATCTTAGAAACTCCAGATTAAAACTCTAAGAAAATTTTAAAAAGATCCTTTTGTATTTTTATTTACTATTTTTCTTAAGTGACCATTTATGTCCTTTGCACACTTCACATTTTTATTTCTTTGTAGACTATAGATGTTACAGGTAATAATCTTTTATAGTGCACATATATTTCATATATACAGTATGTATGGGTATATATTTAGAGAAGTACACTGTAAACATGTTTTAATTATGTTTTTCAATTATATAACACAAGAATGTATATGTTAATGTAACCATACTTTTAAAATATGTAACGTTTTCTCTATTTTTGTCTTGAGTCCCCACTCTCAAACTAAGATTTTTATTTATTTATTGCATTCAAAACTTTAAAATCTGGAATTTATTTTTTGGTACAATATAAAATAAGAACTTATCTTTTTTCCCAAATGGATAGCCAGCTAACCTAACACATTTATTGATAACCTACCACTTGTTCACTGACTCAAACTCTTAATTTTTTTATATTATAGGCCAGTACCAGTTTAAATTCTGTAGTTTTACAGTTATTCATGATACTATTCTTTTGATTTCTACTGCTAAAAATTATGATTCCAAATTTCTACAAGTCTTTTAGAGATTTTACTAGACATATGCTAACTTTATAAACTTTGACATGAATGGATACTGCTATAATGCCATGCTTTCCCATTCATTTGACATTCTCTTTTGTTTAGAGAATGTCTCTTAGTTCTTTTTGTCAGTAAAGCTTTACATGCACACATGTATATATGTATAAACATATATTTCTTGTCAGGATAAACACTGGATTTTGAACAAACTGTTACTAAAATCTGCTAACAGAAAGCTGTTGTTTTCATGTATCTATTTGTATGAAAAAAAATGAACTCACTATCTGAACACCCTTTGATTTTCTGGCAAATACTTGTATGTTCTACAAATTGAAACTTTGCTCCTTCCTTTAATGACTCAATTCTTTCATTAATCATAATGTTCAGAACTCCCAAATCCTGTCTAAAAACAAGGCACTAGCCATCTTGTTTCTCACACTGATGGCAACATAAGAGATGTTAAGAAATTTTAAAAAGGGTCGGGGATTTGGCTGAGCGGAATAAGCATCTGCCTGGCAAGCACAGTCTTGAGTTCAATCCCCAGTACCGGAAGAAAAAAAAAAAAAAAAGACACTTTTAAAAGGTTTACCCTGTTTCTAACTTTTCTAAGAGTTTTCACAAAACACAGCAATTAAAATATATCACACAAAATCCATAGCATTTTTCGTCTCCAATCAACATGAATTAACAGGTTTACTAGTGTAAAATTATATCTATATTCCTTGATCATTTTTTTTTAGCACAAGTCTAGACTTGGTTTTGTCAGATTTTACTTAGGATTTTGGTATTTATTAAGAAACTGACATACTGCATTCTTTTTTCTGCTAATGATCAATTTTAGTAACAGCAGCAACTTTACAACCTAAATAGGGAAGACCGAGGTCTTGCCATGTTGCCCTAAGTAACCGTGAACTCATGGACTGAAGTGATGATCCAACCTCAGCTCCCATAGCAGCCTGGACCAAGGGCACATGCCATTGTGCCCAGCTTTTTACTAAACTTTTAGGGTTGGGACTATAGTTTAGCGGTAAAATGCTTTTCAGCATGGTGTCTCACTATGTACCCTAAGCAGGATACAATCATTCAATTTTTCTGCTTCAGACTACCTAGCAGCTAGTCATAAATACACATACTCACATATAAAGAAAATCTTTTAAACAACAGGAAATTTATCATTCTAGATAAACAATCTAATTATAAAATCATCTGAAGTACTCAGGAGGCTTAGGCAGAAGGATCACTGCGAGTTTGAGGGCAGCCTGGGGTACACAACTGAGTTTAAGGCCACCGTGCACTACATAGTGAGACCTTGTCTCAACAAACAAACAAAAATTACCTGAACTTTGGAGTAATGAAGTTTTTAAAAATTATTATTCTTCAATCAACAGTTATTATCCTACCTATTCTTGGGTCAGTTTTGTCAACTTACATCTAATTATTTCAACACATTTTTATTATTTCACATGGTTGAAGCATTGGTGGCACATGCCCAATAATCCCAGCACTCAGGAGGCTGAGACAGGAGGATCACCATGAGTTTGAGGCCAGCCTGGGCTACATAAGCAAGTTTAAGGCCAGCCTGCACAACACAGTAAGACCTTGTCTCAATCAAAACAAACAAACAAACAAAAAAAATCAGCACAGCTGCATGCAGTGGTACATGCCTAGAATTCCATATACTCAGCAGACTGGAGCAAAAAGACAAAGTGTGAAGCCAGCATGAGCCACTTAAACAAAATTCCATCTCAAGAATGGGCCAATCCTGGAGCAGATGTGGCTTAACTTTAGGCTACAATTGGCAAAAAACACATTGCAGTGAGGAGTAAATGTGAATGTGCATGTGTCTACGGGAACCTGTCTGGAAATTCCTGGACTGAGCACTGATGACAAACACAAATAGGTTGCTTCAGTCATGAATCACACACACAATTGTAGTGTCATGCTCATTCACAGTAGTCTGTGATTTGTAGCTCACATACATTTACTACATAGTACTGTTGAAGAAACCCATCTGCTGTGAGTACTGATCACTGCTATCTTGTTTAAAAACAGAAATGGAGATTCTTCACGTTCCTATTTCAGCAATTTGGGACCGGGGAATTCAGCTCAGTGGCTCAAGCACTTGCCTGTTAAGTGTGAGGTCATGAGTTCAATCCCCCAGTACCAAAAATAAAAAAAGAAAAAAAAGAAATGGAAGAGAAGGAAAAGACTATTTTTGGCAATCTTTCAACTGTTTATAACCAAAGCTCACTCTTACTGACTCCAAGTCTAGAGGTTTTCCTGAGTTCTACTAGAATTAGAAACATACACATCTTTCATGACACATGATCCTAAATTCCATGAAGACGTCTTTTTCATTCATAGCTATCACTATCACTTAACAACTATTGCTACTGCCTCGCAACCAGTTAATGAATGATGAATATTTCTCTTCTGAACACTTCCTACTCATTCAGAGTACCTGTCTGCCATCTCTCTCTTTCCCCTTTCTTCAAATCATCTTTTACATTAAAAAAAATTTTGATGAATAACAAATAAAATTTGATCTTACTCTCAATTTATTTTCACATATTTTAATTTACTAAAACTCTTCTGGTGTTCCTCTAGACTTTTTATCTCCTTTTAATATTTTTTCTTTCATTTCAATGGGCTTTTGATGAGGGCTAGTAAACAAATTTTAGTCAATTATTGTGAAATAGTTGTAGATATATATCTAGGAGCTGGATTTACTATGATATTTGTCACCCACACACAAAATTTATACCTCCTATTATACATTTTCCTGATCTAAAATAACATAGAACTACCTAAACTGATAGATTTCAAACACTCTTTAAGTCCTACTGTCTATTGCAAATGAGTGGTCATAATCACTAGCATCATTAAAACAAATTTTAAAATGTTAAGCAACCTATTACATTTCTCAAAACAATTACAAGTGTTGCTTCATACCTGGCCAGTAATGAAGATCTGAACAAATTCTTTGAAGAGTTCTTGGATGTTGTCGAAACAAGCAAGTGGAACGTAAAGCACTAAACATATCTAAGTGACCTGGAGGGAAATTGTTAAAGGTAAGTTTCCAGCTTTTCCATACCAAAAACATAAAAATCACATGAAATATTAAGAATTTTTATCAAATGCTATGAAAAGTCACATATTGGCTGGGGATTTAGCTCAGCGGCATAAGCGCCTGGCTTGCAAGCAGGCAGTCGTGAGTTCGATTCCCAGTACCGATAAAAAGGAAAAAGACACAAAAAAAAAACCACAAAAAGCCCCAGAAAAGTCACAATGTAAGTTTCACAATTTTTGGTCTGTGATATGACCTTGCTTTCATAAAAGTATCTAAAGTATCATTAGTTTAAGAGCTCTTCATGTTACACTCACTTAACACATTACTTTTACATCTGATATACAGCTATCATTCTAATCAATAGAGGTATGAGGTATAAATTCTAATCAATACAGGTATAAGGTATATATGTTCAAGTGAAAATTACCTTTAGAACATAAAGATAAGAAATTGCTCTTCGGTAGAGACAATTTCAAAAGCTTTAGTGATAAAAAAAAAAAAAGGCAAACCACAGCTATTGCTATCTTTCCCTTTTCAAGTTTTCATAACCAGTGAGTATGTAAACAGTTCCCTCCAAAGCTGTGAGCATGAATACAGTGATCCTTTCCAACTCCTCCTCTTAAGTAATGTCAACCCTTTCCTACTTTTTAGATGCCAGGGACTTGCTTTGTAGCCAATAAATAGTAGCTATTATTGATATATACCAATTAGAATTACATGCTGCAGATTAGAAGAGCAATAATAATATAAATACTAAAAAGTTTATCCTATTGAACACAACACAGAGCAAGTGTTTCAAGAGTTTTATATAAACAATAAAAGGGGGCTGTCAATCTGAGTCTCCAAGCTCAAAACTATTTTTCCCCTCACTCTTGTATTCTTTGTATCTTCATACTGCATGAAAGACTAAAGAAAAGAATTAGCAAATGAATTGTTTATGCAAAGTATAGCTTCGAATCAAATCATCAACTACTGAAACCTTTGAGGAAGCCCCAATATTCCTTCTGTGCTATCCAAAAAGATCTTCTGGAAGCTAACCTGACAGACTGCAGTGCAAACCTACTTATTATGTCAGCGTGTTAAAAGCTTCAAAAAGATGCAGACATCTCATACAAAGAATATTTCTTTATCAATGTATTCTCACTAAGTTTAAATAAGGACAATAAAAAACACATTCTTCCCTGGTTGTGGTAGTGCACACCTGTAATCCCAGCACTTGGGAGGCTGAGGCAGAAAGATCATTGCAAATTTAAGACTAGTCTGGGCTACAAAGTGAGTTCAAGGCTAGCCTGAACTGCAGAGTGAGACCCACTCTAAAAAACAAATGAATAAATAAAACACCTTTTTCTAAATGTGATACAGTATAGTGCTTTAGATCCAGGAACAGAGTATCAGCAATAAAAAAAAGTGATTTAAAGAAAATTTTGCTGAAATCCAAACAATTCACACTTAATTAAAAACACTGTTACAAGTCATGGTGGTACACACCTTATAATCCCAGCACTATTGGGAGACAAGAGGATCCCAAGTTAGAGGCCAGTTTCACAACTAAATAAGTAAAATATATACATATAATATATAAACATATATACTACATATATATCAAATGTGAATTTGTTTTAATAAATGTACCATGGTTATGGAAAATGTCAAAATTAAAGGGAAGTAAGGTGCAGAGTATACAAAAACCCTTGACACTACCTTTAAAATTTTTCTGTAAATCTAACATTGTTTGAATATGAAAACTTACCAGAAAAAGGAAAAAAAAAAAACCTTAAGAACCTGGTCCATAGTAAATGCTAATAAATGATTTCTAACTATTTTTTTAATAATACTTACATGGCTTAGTTTCATTAGAACCAAAAATATATAAACATACCATATTTATTTTCAAAGAAGGACTGTGCAGAGATATGAGATGTGTGCCAGTGGGAAGAAATACTTTTGCCTCTGTAAAATCCAGGAAGTAGATCTTCTACCAATTGGTCAATCTGTCCAACTTTTAATTCAGACAATCCAAGGTCCCTTAAATTAAGTGCAGGCTGTAAAAGATGAAGTTAACCAAACAGTAACATTATTGAGACACTTGAAGAGTATTTATGACCTAAAAAAATTTTTCAAATCGAAGACATTAATTTCTTAATATTTAAAATATAATTGATAAAAATACTAAGCTCCCCATCAACCAGAGAATGGATAAAAAAGATGTAGTCTTTCTATACAGTGGAGTGCTACTCAGCCATAAAGGACACATGAGATTTTTATAGGTAAATGGATACAACTTGAGACCACACTCATAAGTGAAATTAATCAAACATCATACTGGATCCCTTGCATAAGAAATCAAAAGAGTAAAATAAGGTCTAAAATATACAATAGATACTGTGAAATGGGAAGAAACTGTTCAAATGGAAAAAGAAAAAGGCTGGGGAAAGAGAAAGGATGAGAGGTAAAAGGGGAAAGATGCAAGTCAGTTGTACTATTAAGATTCTCTTAGCTCATTAAAAAAGGAACTTATGTGCTAATATTGGAGAAATTTTATACCCGTATCTTATACTTTGAGTAATTACTTTAAAGATAACACCATGTAATGTATTAACTATTCCTATTCTATTATTTTGCTACAAAATTGTGTTATTTTTTCTATAAAATAAAAATAACATATATCCTTAAGTTCTAGTTTCACTGAGGTCCTGTGAAGTTTGAAAAAGGCTGAAAAAGTATATCCCTAACGGTATTCTTAAATAAGAAAATGACATTTCAGTATGAATGAGGAAAAAATGTACCTTTTTATTCAAATCAGTATCATCATTGAACTAAGCATTATAATTCACAAATGAGGTTAAGTGTTTTATAGTTTCCCCTTCTTATCACTTAAGGTACTCTCACTTAGTGTTAATTCATCAACAATCAGCCAAACATTTATAATGACTGTGGATGCAGCTCAGTAATAGAGCACCTGCCTAGTGTCCTGTGATGAAAAAAAACAAGAGGAGGGTTGGGGGGTGCGGATACAAAGGGAAAAGAAACTTAAAAGTTACTGTTTTTCTTTGTTATACTACTGAGAAATGAACCTAGTGCTTCCCATTGAGCTATGTTCCTAGCCCTTTTGTAATTTTTTGAGAGAGGGTCTCTACATCTTTAAACTGCCCAACTAAGCTTCAATTTGTGATTCTCCTGCCTCAGCCTCCCAGTATGCTGGTATCACTGGTATGGCACCACTGCTGCCACGAAGTTTTACTTTGTTATGTTTTATTGTTACCATTCTGGAGTGGATGTTTGGGTAAGCAGTGCCTGATGAAAGCAAAGAAGTCATCACATAGTAAAGAAAGTAAGATCAACTAGGGTGTTCAGCAATATGAAAGGTTTTGACATAACATGGTACTTTCCAAAGACAAATACAAGGACTAACGAGGTCCTGAAGGATATCAATCTGTGTTTCACACCATTAGTCTTATATTGCACCCAGGCTTCTAGTTACTTTTCAAGCACCAAAAATGCCCTTTAACATCAACTCAGCAATTTCACTTGATAAAATAAAGATTTACCAATGAAGGATGGAAACAATGGTATTGTTTCTGGCAACAACAACAAAAAAGAAATAATACCTGTTGTAGTCAGGGGTTGTGCAGAAAACAATTAGAATCAGGACACAGAGTTTCTAATATTACTTTTGTGATGGTCACTCACAGTTAACACAAGAAAATGCAGGAAATCTATCCATGACACCAAAGACATAGAATATTTAGCCCAGGGCCTGAATTCCACAGCAATGTCTCACATGAGTCCAGATGAAAACCCAGAGCTCACGACAGTGTCTCCCAAGAGTCCAACTGGAAGAACATGGCAGATAGATAGCAGCAGCCTCGCAGGGTCTCTGAGAAACCGCACTTGAAATCTAGGAATGGTGCCGGGCAGGAAGCCCTAGGCAAGGGGGGAAATTCTTTGCCGACCCAGGAATGAACTAAATTAAGAGAAACCAACTGAAAACGTAATCCCAGTGATACAGCAGGAACAGATAAGGTCTCAGCATGGAAGCCGGGCCCCACGTTACTGGAAACTGTGATTTGAATTACCTGCAGTAGCTGTTGCATCCCTGGTCCCTGTCAGCACAGCGGGGAGAGAGGCGTGAAAGCTCGGAGAATGAGAAGCATCGGAAGGAGTTGGGAGCGGGACTGGCCGGGCGCCCTGCATCAACCTGCGGTGAGTGAGCAAATTGGGACCCTTCCATAGAGAAAGAGGCTTCAGCAGAGGACATACTCGGACTAGGCAGACTTCCCAGAATGAGATGCTGCACTGACTTCAGTCACATATCTCCCTCTCAAGCGGGATTGGTGGGGAGTGCTTGGCCTGCGAGACGCCGCTGGCTGAGACCCAACAGGCTAGCCCAACTCAGGTCCCTGTGCACACTAGCGGTGAAGCCTTTGGTAGGTTGACCTGGAGGGGCGGGCCCGGCATAGACTGCCCAGGTCTGTGTCTCCCTGGTGCCGTTGCGGTGGGCGGGAACACCTAGCCGACGCAATTCAAACAGATTGTGGTGGACAGGGAAGGAAGTTGGGCCTCCTATAAATGCTTAAATATAAGGAACAAAGAATATGGGAAGAGGGAGCAACAAGAAAGGGTCCTCGGCCCCCAATCCTGAGAAACATGCAATAGCAGACACGGCACCAATAGACATAAAGCGCTATCTCCAGAGGCTCATAGACAAGTTCAGGAATGAAGTTATTAATGACCTGAAACAAGACATAAGCAGAATAGTTAGAGAAATGCTAAGCACTGCCCAAGAAAAAACAGATGGTGGAATGGAAGAACAGAAAAAAAGGGGAGAATTGTCTGATGGAGAAAATACAGAAAACATAGAATACGTAAAACAGGTTCAAAGAGATTACCAGGAAACTAAAAACTCTATCGAAAACTGGCATAACAGCTTGAAAGAAACTAAGGACAGATTATCTGAACTGGAGGGCAGATTTGTAATATGGGAGCATGAAATGAAAAACTTCTTAAAAATAACAAAAAAACAAACAGCAACAATACAAAAACTAGAAGATGATAAGAGGATCTACAACTTAAGAATTAAGAACATAAGAGAAGAAGTGGGGACACAAACAAATGGACTACAAAAACTATTCACAGAAATAATCCAATAAAGTTTCCCTAATTTAGCAAATGGCAAAGATACTCAGATATATGAGGCATACAGGACTCCAGCCACCTACAACCCAAAAAGAGCTATACCCAAGCATATAATAGTCAAAATTTCAGAAATCCAATATAAGAGCAGAATATTAAAGGCCATCAGAGACAAGAAACAGATCACTTACAAGGGAACACCCATCAGAATTACAGCAGACTTCTCGGCACAAACCATCAAATCAAGAAGAGTGTGGGGGGAAATAATTCAAGCTTTGAAAGATAATAACCTCCAGCTAAGATTGATATATCCTGCACAACTGTCCCTAGAAATTGATGGAAAAATAAGGTGCTTCCAGGTTAAAGAGGAACTAGGGGAATTTGCAACCACTAATTCGACTCTACAGAGAATACTGCAGGATAGTCTAAAAAAGGAAAATACCAAGATTCCAGAAAAATTGGCAGAGAGGCTACAATGAATGGGGCAGAAAACAAAATGAAGAAGACAAGCTGACAACAAACAACAGAAAAAGAGCTCAACAGAAATGAGGCAGAGAAGATAGGAAGGTAGAAACAGCTATTTTGGAGAAAACAAGACATCATAATAGCTACTGCTGATTTAGTATCATCTGGCTTTGAAGTCCCATCAAACTGGTATTCTTCTGTCTCCATTGGTCTTAAAAGGTTGTATCTTATTGGATTTTATTATATATGATAATATAAGCAAAAACTTTTATAGACAAGGAGTTTATATAGAAATCATTGTTCATTTTCTGTTAATTGGTTCTAAATACCCTGCAATAATGTCATTCTCTTGAATGGTTTTATAGTGTCTTGATATGTTTGGTACTACAGTATAAGAAGTTACGCTCAAAGAATTCAAGAAAAGAGACACTATGGTAACTATTTTTATGTCAGGATATCTTGTGGTGAAACACTATTATGCCTAAATGGTTATGTTTTGACCTGCGCTGTTCTGTTGTTATGCCCTCTTTTATCTCAGCCCCCCCCCTTTATTTTTTAATTATTTACTTTTTTATTTTATTTTTTAATTAAGGGAAAATAAATAAAAAATAGCAGGTCACATTATAGTAACCTACTTTGATTTCCTATTAACTTGATTTGAAATCATGTATTGCCCTCACCATCTTGTTTTGACTGATTTTCCTCTATTCTGCTTTGCTTGATAGTACCAAGTTCGAAAGTATAGGCAAAACTGTGAAGACAATAAGAATCATTATGATGCCCATTCCGGTTGACTATTATTTTCTTTTAAAGTCCTGTAATGTCTCCAATGCTTTGGTTTTATTCTTTACTGTTTAGTTCAATTTTATTATAACTGCCAATTCTTCTTAAAATAGCAAGAGGCAGTATGGTAACCACTGTTGATCAACTTATATTTTGTTTTTACATTATCTATTATGTGCATCCTTTTGATTTGACTGACTCTGTTCTGATATGTCGCATTTGGTTTTACTCTCTTCAAAAAAAGTAAATAAGAACTGTGGGAGTAATAAAACCCAAAATGTGTAATTGTCATTGTACAAAAGAAATGAAAAGAAAAGAAAGTGCTCTAAAGGTTGTAACTGCATATATGTTTAAGTGTGTAAGATAGATAACCATATTACTGAGTGTTTTTTGGATCATTGAACAAAACTGTTTGCACTCTCACTGTCTGAAGGTCCACTTTATATGCTTCAGTTTTGGAACTTGAACAACTATTTCTAAGATGAGAATATGTAATCTATTAACTAGTGATTTCTTACTGTTTATTTTTTAAATTTTGTATTACTTGTACCCTTTTTCTGTTTTTTTCCTTTTTCTCCTTAAAAAAAAAACAAAAAAGAGTCCAACTGGAGGTCCAGAGCCCACAAGAAGGATTCACACCAGTCTCTTTTACAGATTTGTGCTGGGAAGGCCCAAAGGTCAGCGGTGGAAGCTAGAAGAAAATTCTATGCCAGCGGGGTAAAGGAGCTATGCTGGTAGGTTGAGGGTTCCACAATGGAGCCGAGAAGTCACACTCACAACAAAGACCAGGGCTCTCCTGAAAAGCACCATGGCCATCCTCAGCGACACAGAGGCCCTGAGCTCTTCTGACCATAAGCACAGTCAGGTACATGCCAGGAATCCAGCAAGACGAGTCCATCCTGGAGACCAAGTAGCACACGTCTTTCTCTCCGGAGCCAGGAAGCAATGCTCAATGTGAGGGCCAGAGCTTCTCCAGGAGAACCAATGGCTCAAACAGCAACATGTAGGAGAACCCACAATGCTTCAACACCTCAACGCCTCAACGCTTAGTTTCTCCTTTTCCACGTCTCTATTTATGCTGGCAACTTTCCTCAGATGGGACACCTACACTCAACACCATGCTGATGTAATCCAGCTGGCGTTAAGTTGACCACCAGTTTTTAATCCATAACAATACCCAACATAAGACATCACACTAAGTTTATACTACAGTCATTAAAACTACTAAAAATGAGCTGGGAGACGGCCAGGTGTGGTGGCTCACACCTATAATCACAGCACTTGGGAGGCTGAGGCAGGAGGATCATTGTGAGTTGAGATCAGCGTGGGCTACAAAGTGAGCTCAGGGCCAGCCTGAACTGCATAGCGAGACCCTGTCTCAAAAAGACAAAAAAAAAAAAAAAAAAAAAAAAGCTGGGTGCAGTAGCACATGCCTGTAACTCCAGGTGCTTAGGAAGTTGAGGCAGGAGACAACTGCTGGTTTGAGGCAAGCCTAGGCAACAAAGGCAAACCCCATCTCAAAAAAAAAAAAAAAAAAAAAAAATCAATAAATAAAAATATAGAAAATACCTAGCATAAACAATTTCATAGAGAGTTCTAAATGAACAAACAGGAATTCAAATCAACCTGTAAGGGCTAGGGGAGTAGTTTAGTGATAAAATGTTTTCCTAGCACAATCAAGGCCCTGGATTCAAACCTCGTGACACATAAAACTTTAAAATTTTAAATATCAGCATGTACAGTCTAATTTAACTATCACCAAGTACAAAAAGATCAACAGACCTGAAAATAAATGTAAAATGTTAACAGCATTATCTCTGGAGAATACAACCACAGAGTAATTTTATTTCACCTACACTAATATTTTCCAAAATGTCTAGTGAGCGTAATTCTGCTGCATGTAGCATTTTTTTTTTTTTTTTGATACCAGGGATCCAACCCATGACCTTGTGCTTGCTAGGCAGCTGCTTATGCTGCCCAGCTGTACATAGCAATTTTGACATATGTAACACTCCTGATCTGCAATCTTCCTCCACTCTATTATCCCACTACACAACATGCAATACGTTATTTTGAGAGAAACACCACATTCATACAATTTTCATTTTACTACACTGATTTAACTACTCTATTTTATGAGTAGTTGTGTTTTGAGGATTTTGTTTTTTGAGATTAGGTCTCACTATGTAATCCAGGCTGGCATTCCATTGGTAGCAATCTTCCTGCTTCAGCCTTCTGAGTGCTGGAATGGTAGGCATGCACCACCACACCACCCTGCACTTGGACTGTAATTTGAGTGAAGGGTGTCAGAACAGCAGAGAGACAATGGACTGCCTATAGAAAAACAATGGTAAGGGGCTGGGCATTTAGCTCAGCAGCATAAGCGCCTGCCTTGCAAGCAGGCAGTCATGAGTTTGATCCCTGGTACCGATAAAAAAAAAAGAAAAAAGAAAAACAATGGTAAACAGGCAAATAGAAAAAAAAAGACAGTGTAAAGATGACAACCTTTTCATCTTTTTTTTTTTTTTTTTTTTGTCTTTTTCCTTTTTTATCGGTACCAGGGATCGAACTCATGACTGCCTGCTTTCAAGGCAGGCTCTTATGCCGCTGAGCTAAATCCCCAGCCCCGACAACCTTTTCATCTAATCACAATTTTTTTTCTAAGACAGGCCTTAAAAAGTACCTAGAATTCACTTTCTACTATTCCTCCACTGTCCTCTGCCAGAACTCCTGACTTCAGAATTAAAAGCATCAGGTTAAAGAGGCTGTTCAGAACCTCAACTATTATACTATCTTTTCTTTTCTTTTGGTCTTTTTCGTTTTTATTAGTACCAGGGATCTAACTCACACTTGCAAGGAAGGCACTTATGCTGCTGAGCTAAATTCCCAGCCCCCATAGTATCTTTTCTTAAAAACATATTCTGGGGCCAGGGATTTGGCTCAGTGGTGCAGTGCTTGAAGCCTGAGGTCCTGAGTTCCATTCACAGTACCCTCCTCTCCCCCCGAAATAGACCACATTCAGAGTTTGTAAGTAACTACCTTAATTGGAAACAGGAAGGTTCTTAGGTTCATAATTCCCCATATCCCAGAAATCACTGGATTTCTAATCATATGAATACTGAAGTACAGTTTTCTACCTTGTGTATTTTACTTTCAAACACCTAGACTAAGCCAGATGTGGTGGCACACACCTGTAACCTGAACACTTGGGAGGCTGAGGCAGGAGGATTTCTGGGAGTTTGAGGCCAGCCTGAGCTACAAAGTGAATTCAAGGCCAGACTGAACTGCATAGCGAGACTGTATCTCCAAAAGAAAAGAAAAAAATTTTTAACAAAACCTAGATTAATCTACTCAAAGCTTCTGAGAGTTAGCAAATGATGTCTTACTATACTGACTTCCTTGAGACTTGGAAGGTAATAGTAGTGAGTTACTCATGAGCAATAGGTAGTGATAGCTGGCTGATATTTCAACAAACAATATTATAAATTATCGCATCAGAAAGACTTCCTCACACAACCAGGGTAAAAACTCTTACCTCACTGCCAGCAGCCTCATGCTCTGGAACTACATCTCGATGCTTGTTTGGAGAAACTGATGCACTGACTGAAACAGACACAGGTTTTGGTGAATGGAAGGCACTGATAAGATGACTGAGAGGAACTGTAACCTAGAAAAAAAGAAAAGTTTTAATTAAGTAGCATATGTTTTTAAATCTCCTTTGTGTTGTCAGAATTTAGGATATGTTGAAAGTTAAAACTATGGACCCCCAAGTGGCCTGGAGCTGCCTGCACTCTGCCTTGAGAGCCAAAAGCCCCCGGAGAGATCTCTATCCCCTTGGGCAGCCTGTGCACATCACTTGGAGACTGGGAGGACTGTGCAGCATCCCCCATCACTAGAGGATCCTCAGGAAGGTCCCTCCGGGTCTACTTGGGGTTCGCCCAATAACCCCAAGTGGCTGGGAGCCACCTGGTAAGGTATGTCTAAGGACCTACACTCAACTGGGGAAATTCCTACAGTAGAGATAGACCTTGCCTTCAGCTTCCCTGAGGGAATATAGGAAAATCACAAAATGAAAGCGCAAAATGTAATCTCAACCTCCAGCCCATCCCAGGCAAGCCTAGGAGACATGGACATAGAAGAAAATGTAAGCCATACACCTGAAACTCGAAATAATAGCAAGTAAAGTAAAGAAATAACTCCAGAAAGCTATAAAGGAACTCAAATCAGAAATAATCTCCCAGGTAAAAGAAATGATGGCCACATCTAAAGAAGACATAGTTTAAAAATAGAGGAACCTGTACAAGGATGTAAACCTTCAATTAATATAAGAAACAAACAGAATGCATGAAACAGATTCAAAGAGATATCCAGAAAACCAAACTTCCATCAAAAGTTGGGAAAACCCCCCCTCAATGAAAGTGAAGATAGACTTTCAGACTCCAAAGACAAGACTGCAGCTAGTGAACAGCAAAGGAAAGATCTTTTAAAAATAACAAGGAGTCAGGAAATAACAATTCAACAGCTACAAGATGATGCACAGAAAAACAACATAAGATTGATACATATAAACGAAAAAGGTGACAACACAAATGATATTAAAAGACTACTTATACAATAGCCGAAAATTTCCCAAATTGGAATGGAAACTGAACATACAGATAAAGTGAAGCATACAGCACTCCAAATAGTCAAAACCAAAATAAAACGATACCTAGACGTATAATAATCAACATCCGAAAAATTCCACATAAGAAGAGAATATTAAAAGCTGTTAGAGGGCCCGCCCCTCCGCAGTGGGCTGGCCCAGCAGGCCTGGGTTGCCTGGAACTGCCTTCACTGGGCCTGACCCTAAGCTGTGAAAATCTGAGAAGCCCTGGCAAGACCTAGCCACCTGGGACTGCCACCACTGGGCCCATCCCTTACCTATGAACACCTGGGATGCCCCAGCACAACCTAATCACTTAGGACTACCACTGTGGGCCCATCCCTTAGGGAAACCACCCACCTCCTGGACCTAGTACTGCAGAGGATCTTTGTATCCAACCCCTTCTCCCAGAACTTTGGACTACAAGGAAGTACAGTGCTGGATGGATGGGAGACTCAGGAACCCCTTACCCAAACAGAAGACCTCAGCAGGCTCCAGTCAGTGTGGTGAGTATGCTCCTAAAATAGAGATCTGCAGAGGGTAAATAAGAGTAGAAGTGAAACTCCCTCCAACTATAAGACCTTGACAAACCTGGCAAGAGAGTGGGAATCCCCTCCTCCATACAGATAACATCAAACAGATTGAGGAGTGAGCCAATAAGGCCTCCGCCAACTTGCAGAAAATTAAAAGAGCTTATGAGACCTCCAGTGACACAGTAGGGCCTCAGCTGACACAAATACTATAGGCAGGGAGAGCTGCTGACCTGCAACAACCTGAAGACATAGCAACAGCAGGAACCAAGAGTTGAACTACATCAATACTACTAGGCTAGTTAGCCCAGAAAGAATATAGGACTCACCCAACAGGCCCTGTAGGAGGAATTCAGGTGACTGGCTCTCCTCTACATTGTCTTATCCAACAACTGGACAAACGACACCCGCACAGTAGGACCCAAAAACTCATACTATAGACAGTTGAAACTGTTCGGACTGAAAGACCAAATATTTATCCAAAAGGTAAAAATAACAAAACGAAAAGGCAAAGTGTAATCTCAAACATCTAGTCCATCAGGAGCAAGTCCAGGCAACACTGAAATAGAGGACTATAAAAAAGTCATACACCAGGAACCTCTGAAAAGACAGCAAATGAAGCAAAGAAACAAATCTATGAGACTACAGAGGAAACCAAATTAGAAATAATGTCTTATGTAAAGACAGAAGTAACCTTAGTAAATAAATTGCTCAACATAGCTAGACAAGAAATAGACAAAAAAAAAATACAGGAGCTTGGGAAATTGATTGAAACTTTGAATGAACAATGCAGAAAACAAGCAGAATCCATTAAACAAATTCAAAGAGATAGCCAAGAAACAAAAACTATTGAAAGCTGGCAAAACCATTTAAATGAAGCTGAGGATAGAATTTCAAACCTGGAAGACAGGATCACAGATAGAGATCATAAAAAGGTAGAACTTAAAAAAACAAAGCAGCATGAAATGACAATCCAGCAGCTTCAAGATGATGCCAAGAGAAACAATATAAGCCTAATAGGCATCAGTGAAGATGCAGGATTCAATGCAAATGACGTAACTAAACTATTCACAGAATAGCAGAAAATTTCTCACAAATAGGGAAAAAAATGTGATATAGAAATAAGTGAGGCATACAGAATGCCAAACAGTCACAATCAACATAAATCTACACCCAGACATATATCTCAGACATATAGCATAGAAAAAGGACACTAAAAAGCTGTTAAAGAAAGCCTATTAGAAATACGGCAGACTTTTCAGCACAAATTTTCAGGTTAAGACGAGCTTGGAGTGAGGTCCTGATGGGTTCACAGCTGAATTCTGCAAGAAATTTAGAGACGATTTGATGCCAATACTCCTTAAACTCTTCAATAAAATGGAAAAGGAAGCAATCCTCCCTAAATCATTCTTGGAGGCCAGTATTACTCTCATACCAAAACCAGAGAAAGACCCAACCAAAAAGGAGAGCTATAAGCCAATCTCACTAATGAACACTAATGCAAAGATTCTCAATAAAATACTGGCAAAGAGAATGCAGCAAGTCATCAAGATTATACAACACGACCAAGTGGGATTCATCTCAGGAATGCAGGGATGGTTTAACATACGCAAATAAATAAATGTAATACACATCAATAGAGCCAAAAACAAAAACCACATGGTCATCTCAATAGATGCAGAAAAATCTCCCAATAAAGTCCAATACATGTTCATAATAAAAACCCTTCAGAAACCCAGAATACATGGTGCCTACCAAACCTTAAAAAGGCCATGTATGACAAACCAACAGCCAACATTATACCAAATGGACAAAAACTGAAAGCTTCACACTAAAATCAGGAATAAGACATGGATGTCTACAATCACCACTCCTATTCAATATAGTTCTGGAAACACTAGCCAGAGCAATCAGACTAGAAAGAGAGAAATAAATAGAATAAAGATAGGAAAGGAAGAAGCTAAATTATCACTATTTGCAGATGACATGATACTCTATATAGAAGACCCCAAAAATTCCATTAAAAGACTAATAAACAAATCAGCAGTGTACCTGGATACAAAGTCAATGCTCAAAAATCAACAGCATTCCTGTACACAAAAAGCCCAATTATGGAAATATCATCCTTCACAAAACATCTAAAAAAATGAAATACTTAGGAATCAACCTAACTAAGAATGTAAAAGACCTATATGCTGAAAATTATACTACACTAAAAAAGGAGATTGAAGAGGACATTAGAAAATGGAATGATATTCCTTGCTCTTGGCTAGAAGAATCAACACTGTGAAAATGGCCATACTCCCAAAACTCTTACACAGATTTAACGCAATTCCAATCAAAATACCAAGAGAAAACACGTCTAAAATTCATTTGGAAACAGAAGAAACCCAGAATTACAAAGGCAATTCTGGACAACAAAGGCAAGGCAGGAGGCATCTCAATTTCTGACTTGAAACTATACTACAAAGCCACAATGATAAAATCAGCATGGTACTGGCAAAGAAATAGACCTGAGGTCAATGGAACAGATTAAAAGATTTGAGCACAACCTCAAAGACACTCGGCCACCTGCTATTTGACAAAGGGGCTAAACATGTTCATTAGAAGAAGGATAGCCTCTTTAATAAATGGCGTTGGAAAAACTGGCTGTCTACATGCCCAAGACTTAAACTAGATCCATGCCTATCACCATGCACAAAACTAAAGTCTAAACGGATCAAAGACCTAAATGTTAAAATAGAAACACTAAATCTACTGGAAGACAAGGTAGGTAGAAGTCTTGGAGATATAGGGAGAATTCATGAACAACACGCAAACTGCACAGGAAACACTTCAAAGAAATCACCAACAGAGTAAAAAGAAAAACCTACAGAATGGGAAAGAATTTTAGCCAACAACCCCTCAAAGGACTTATACCCAGAACGTATAAAGAACTGAAAAACATCAAGCCCCCCAAATTCAAAGATCCTCTCTAAAAATGGGCATTTGAGATGAACACACATTTCTCAGGTGAAGACAATACAAATAGCAAATAAATACATGAAGAAATGTTCACCATCACTGGTCATTTGAGAAATGCAAATTAAAACAACATTTACATTTCATATCACTCCGGAAAGAATAGCTGCCATCAAGAAATCAACTGATAACAAATGTTGGCAAGGCTGTGAAGGGAAAAGGAACACTGCTCCACTATTGGTAGGAGACTAGACTGGTGCAGCCACTATGGAAATCAGTATGGAGAATTCTCAGAAGACTAGGATTGGAAGTTCCATTCAATCAAGCTATTTCCCTCCTGGGTATTTTCCCAGAAAAACTGAAAAGGTCATATCACAGTGATATATGTGCACCCATATTCATAGCAGCACAATTTGTAATAGTCAAATCTTGGAAACAACCAAGACGCCCATCAACCACCGAGTGGATGAAAAAGATGTGGTATTTTTATGCAATGGAATATTACTCAGCTATAAAAAGGATGATCTTGAG